CAGGCCTGCCAGTCTGTGGGCACACTGCCTCTTCTGTCCATCCACTCAGTTCTAACCCCACCTGAGCAGGCCTGCCAGTCTGTGGGCACACTGCCTCTTCTGTCCATCCACTCAGCTCTAACCCCACCTGAGCAGGCCTGCCAGTCTGTGGGCACAGTGCCTGCCCTGTCCATCCACCCAGCTCTAAAACCCACCTGAGCAGGCCTGCCAGTCTGTGGGCACAGTGCCTCCCCTCTCCATCCACTCAGCGTACTCTCTGCCCTGTTGGCTGTGCCAAACAGCAGGTCCCAGGCCACTGCATGCATGTCTGTGTGACAACTTGTTTCAGTTAATTTGCACAGGGGTGTAACTACATACGCTACTGTAATATACCCTGAGCTGAAGAATCGCTGAAGGCGCTCAATGTTGTCACAAGCTAGTGCCTGCATTCGTTATAACAAATAATTGCATTTAACCCTAATTTTTGAAAGAATAGACTTTATGGCAGTCTGTTCGTAAGTATGGGTTTTCCGTAAGTCGGACATTCTTAACTCGGAGACTGCCTGTACATCTCTAGCGATCACCCCCACTAGTGATGAAAGTGTGGGCACCACAAGCTGAGATAGCAAAAATTCTACCAATCACGTCCAAATCAAAACTCCCACACTCCTGGGTTCCCCCTAGTGTCAGGGTCAAGCATTGCATGGTGCAAAAAGTTAGTCCTTCCCCCAGCCTTTCCTTTACCACTGTTTTCATGAAGATGAGACCTGCACTTACTGAAATACCGACAGCCAGCATAACAGTGTACCTGAGGAGGTAATACGAAATTCTAAACACTATCATTCATTATGCACCGAAATATGTGATATGCATGAGAAATGAACATGACACGTTGTGTGCATGTTAATGGTGAACAAAAACACATCTAGTGATCAGCTTATATACTAATCAAAGGTTTCAAAATTCACAAAGTTTAAAATATTACCTCATCTACATGCAAATAAAACGATCATGGCAAATGCCTCTTTCCTGTCCTAAAGTGAAACGTCCCAAAAAGCAGAAGAATGTGAATTTGCATGAACAAAGGATTCATCATCTATACTGACTGAGAATGACTAAGAGGTGAGAACACCAGCTATTCTGCTCTCTGGGAGAAACGCGTTGGGCCGTTTAGCCGGTGTAAGGAAAGGACAAATCAGGTCACACCTACACTTGCACATGCATACAAGACTGGTTGAGCGATCAATATCATTATTATTATTAC